GGCTCCTTTTTCGTTTTTTTCCAAAAAACGAAAAACAAGAATTCAGCTTAAATTTTTGTTTTTCGTTCATGGGTGGAGAAATGAATAAACAGCTTGAATATTCGATTTCTACACGTGGGCGGGAATTAAACGCCCCTTTCTGCTGATTGGTCAGCCGAAGATCAAACCGTGCCATCATCAGTTCTTCTGCAGTATCAAGCAGCAGAATAGTAGTCCTCTGCTGCTGCAGTTGTATGGATTCTTAACACATTTATTGCAAATACATTTCATATTTTTTCATCAAACAGACGAATGAATAGCTCGACACAACTCGTACCGGGGCAGAGGGCTTTCTTCTGTGTGGACCAGCGGTTCTTAATGTGATGGGGGTTCCGCGAAATAATTTGCTATAGCCTAAAGTATTTCCAGACTGTAAAGTCGCTTTTTTTATCATGATACATAGGCCTACTGTGATTTATTCCAAAGTGACTCATATGATGCATTTAACGTCAAATAATCTAAATGAAGCCTTTTAAAAGACAAGTATTCGCTGTGGTGTGTACAATTTAATTTATTTTAATATTAATTAATTAAATAATTCTGAATTTGTTGGTATATAACATGTGATGCTGATTATTATTATTATTATTATTATTATTATTATTATTGTTGTTTTTATTGTTATTATTATGTGTAAATGTATAAAGTGAAATTACTATATATATGACTCTCTCTCTCTCTATATAGCTCATATACTAACATAGCTCCATAGCTCACCTTTCTATTTGAGGAACGTTACTTTGCTCTGACGAAAGCCCACGTGTGGTGCTGTCCAACGTACTGGAAGTACCGGCACTCTTATCACCGTTATACGTATAAATAGTATATAGTGTATAAATAAATATTAACGTTTTAATTCTGAGTTTGTCTCACCTGTTGGCTCTCGAACGTCCACGCGCTGTCTGGTAATGACGCGTCAAGCACGTTTAGTGTGTCTGTAAAGTTTGTGGTGCTGCTGGGCTTAACGAGGGGGAGATCACTGAATTCTGACATTGGAGAGAGAGAGGAGCCAAAGGACTTACTCGGAGACATCATGTCTCCTCCCAGAACCTCCACATACTTAATGGGCCCGTCAGTGTTGAGCTGGATCTGCAGGTTTCTGTTGGGGTTCTTGTATTCAGAGTTTGTCCTCCTGATACAGCAGCTTATACTGCCTCGCGCACATTTCACCAGTAAGATGAAGAATGTCAAAAGACACATCAAGGACACGGAAGCCAAAGAGATGATCAGATATAATGTTATTTTGCCAGTTTTCTTGTTGGGCTCGATAGTTTTCTCTCTATAGTCTGAGATGGGCTCATGAAAGCCGTCCTCCATCAGTATATCCACTGTGACTGTGGTGGACTGGATAGGTTCTCCATTATCCTTTATTTCTATCAGCAGTCTCTGAGAGGAGTCGTCGTGCTCTGAAACAGCGCGTTTAGTCCTCACCTCTCCCGTATGTAAATTTACACTAAACAGAGACGCGTCCGTGGCCTCCGCGAGCCTGTAGAACAGCCAGGCGTTATGACCAGAAGCC